CCTGAAGCGTCAATAAGACCTGTTTTGATGCATTGAGAACTCCGAAAGTGGGGGCATGCTGGCCGCCTCGCTTGAGAGATCCCATGCCGGGGTCGACAGGATCTCATGCAAGCAGGGGCAGGTACCCACCGCGAACGCAGGTCGTGCTTCTGTTGAAGAATGCATGGAAGGCTTGCCATTGGAAGTTGACAGGCGACAGCTCGACCTTGCCCTGGAACGATAACAAAAAAATGCTATCCTGAAAGATGGATGGTCTTCGTTGGCCAATCTGGGTATAAGTTCAAAGTGGTGCCCGCCTCACCATCCTAACTTTTTTTCTTCATACAGCACAGTCTGATACGAATTTTCTTAGTGTTTCGTCGCCTTTCTTTTCGTTTCTTCATTTTTTATTTTATATTCATTTCTTATCAAGACAGCTAGCTGTTGGACAAAAAGGTGCTGTGCACTTGAACTTTTCTGATCTCCTATATCAATATTATTTTTCTAGTACTTTTTTTTTTTTTTTCTCTTGTCTGGGCAAATTTAAAATTTAAATTAGGATATTTTATATCAGGGGAATTCTTGGAATCAAAGAATAAGAGAGATTCCTCAACTGTCTGGTCACGCGTGGAACAAACAGAACAGTTGCAATTTAATTCTTCGAGAAAAACCGTTGAGTGGGTTGAAACTTCAGAAGAAATAATCACGAACTTTGAGCTTGAACAATCTTCCTTCATCTTCAACTTCCCATCTATCACAACCTCATCAACCAATCACAACTAGCTTTTCAAAATGGTCAACCTCCTTCGATTTGCCCGAGCGGCACCATGCACAAGTATGTGATACAATTTTTCTCTTCTAGGAATTGCTTCTAGAACCATTACTAATGGAAATATTCCCTCTTAGAACCCCTCCTCGCTTTCGCAGCTATTGCTTTGATGATTTCCTTCATCTTCTCCACTGTCGTTGTTACAGCTGGTAAGAAAGATAGCAGCAAGGGCCTCTACATTGTCTCTTTCGACTATGATCTTCCACCGATGAGCAGCAATGCGATCTCCAAGCGTCAAAACGATGATACGACCACTATTCTCCAGACAAGAAGCATTGCAACGGTATCCCAAGTTATGACTGTCCCAGCCGCCACCAATACACCCACCACAATGATGCCAACAATGATGCCAACCTCATCTGCACCAATGATGGCAACTCCCACTCCGAATATGATGCTCCAAGAAAAATTCAAGCAAACTGTCCAATCTCTCATCGCAGATGACAACATGAATGCCACCGTCAGCTTCAACCAGGCTCGTGTTGGATACAGCGGCATTTGCGTCGAAGTCACCTCTAACGAGGGCATCAAGGGTTCCCAATGGATGTGCGGAGCCGTCAACACTACTGAAGTCCTTGGTGCCACCGCTGGCGGCGATCCGTTCGATCTCATTGGTGTTGCCGTTTACTATAAGGACAAAGTTGCCTTCGCTCTCCCATGGTGGGTAGCTACTGTCTGCTTGGGTATTGCGATGCTTTGCCAGATGGTTTTGGCCATTCCATTGCTCCCCATCCCACCTGTCGTGCAAAAGGTCGCTGCGGTCTTTGCCGTTCTCGGATGCATGGCTTTGCTTGGAGGATTGGTTTTGGCTCACGTTGCTTCGAGCACCGTTGCTTCCCTCACTTACACTTTGACTATGGGAACTGTGAACGCACACGTTGGAAGAATGAACCAAGCCCTCGGATGGTCTGGTTTCGCTCTCTCCCTTCTTGCTTCCATTGCAATCTGGGTTGTTGTTGCTGCCGAGATGGCCGTGGAGAGAAGCGAGAGAATGTTCGATCGGGCTGCCGATGCTGCCATCAACAAGCTTGAATCAAAGATCTCTTACGACATTCCTCCCTCGAACAGAAGCGTCAGCGGATCCAGCACTGCTAGCAGTGGTCTTGGAAGATCGTTGAGGAACAACGGTCCTGATGTTCTTAGAGGATTGGCTAAGGCTAAGACAAGGGGTGAAGCCCTCAACGCTGTTGCTGGAGGCTTAAGATCTGAAAAGATTTCACACCCTCATATGATGGTCTAATTTTGAACTGAGAATTGACTAGGCATTAGAGTAGAGGGATAAGGAAGCTTTCTTTTTCAAAAAAAATATTGTTCAAGTTTATATCGTGGTTCTAGTTATTCTAGGCAGTCTTTAGTTTCTTCTGTTTCTTCCTTCATTACGAATCATTGCATTGCGTGGATTGGGTCTCTCTTTCAATCTTTTATTTTTCCTTTAGTACCTACTTTATTTTCTGCAATTTCCCGATATTCTGGTTAATTTTTTATCCTAATCTGACAAAAGCAGTTCAAGGAACTTTTACGCTTAAAAAAATAAAAAGAAAAATCACGAGTTTATAAATTATCAACATAGTTTTTAGGATTCGTGATATCGGCCTTAGACCTATTGCTTAAATCCGTTGTTAATCATGGCTGAGCCACCACTTGCCCCTTGAACGACATTGGGGAGAGACTGCGAGAGGAGATAGTCTCTCATTCCTTTCGGATTGAGCTTCAAATTTGATTTCCTCGAGAGTTCCACGGCAATCATGCCGGCTACAGCGGGGGCACTCATCGATGTTCCAGACATGCTATAAGTAGAACTAATGCGAGATTCAAACCTGGTTAGACACGGTTGGAACTACAAGCTTTTTAGGGAAGACTTACTCAACGCCATCCTTCCAGGTGCTGATAATATCAACACCCGGGCCATGGACAGTGACACACTGACCATAGTTTGATTTGAAATTATTCTTCAAACTCATCAAAGCATCTTTAATATCACTAGCCCCCACGGTTACAATGGGCAACTGCTTTGAATACCTAGCCGGGCGATTCAGGCAAGCGTCCCGACCTTCATTACCAGCTGAAACTGCGACATGAATTCCTGCGGCTATCACTCGCTTGAAAGCCTCGAATTCAGCCTTGTATTCACCGACATTCGAGAACGATGCGCTGATAACAGAACCTATACACCAGTTTAGCATGACAATAGTCGATTGTTTAGCATAGAATGATCTTACCTCTGAAATTAGGGTCACTTTTACGTTTGTTATGCTGGGCTAGAACAGCTTCCATGCCTTGGATAACGGTACTGCTATCAGAGCCCTTACCAAGAATCTTAACCCCCCAAAGGTTTGCACCTTTTGCGACGCCGTAGGTATTAGAGCCAACAGTTCCAGCACAGTGGGTCCTGAGAAGCCTGTTAGTAAGTGGCAAGATGGAAATTTGGAAATGATAGCAAGGTAGGAAACTTACCCATGTCCTTCGACATCCAGGGCATTATCCCGTGCAAAGCTCCACAGCGATTTAGCACGGCCTCCGAAGTCTTTGTGCTGAGCATACAGGCCTGTGTCAAGGATATAAACATCTACGCCGGTTCCATCACCTTGTTTGAAGGTGTACGTATAATCTAATGATGTGACGCTTGAGTGCTGTTTCACCTTGCGCCCCGTCGAAATTCGCTCCAGATTCCATGGTGCGGTTTTCTGGTGCTTGGTAGGTTTTTGCGTTTGGTCTTGACTGTTAGAGTCTTGCTGTTGATTGTTGCTATTATAGAGTTGCTGCTGCTGATTATTATTATTGTAATATCCTTGCTGTCTCTTTTCCAGATCTAGAGGATCATAGCTAATAGTTTTATTGGATGGGATGTAATCAGTGTTAATATGGACATCGTACGACACTGGTCTGACCGGATCCACCGCTACGATGCTGGAGTGTGATAATATGCGTGTGCTCTCCGATCTTTTCATTTTTAGAGTAAATGTCCTTATATGTGTTCCTGAAGATACGATGTGCCCGCTCTCATCTGAATTCCAAGAACTAATTTGAGCATTCCTACCGTAGCTTGAAGCCTTGAAATTTTTGTTCTCCTTCGCCTTGATACCGAGATCGGAGAATATTTCCTTCCATGGTCGTTTCTCGTCTTCTGCCAACATGACTATATATTTGTCTGTGGCATTGTCCTCGGACTTTTGAGCTGCTGGAGCTGCAAGTGCCGCTGGAATTACGACTAAACTTAAAAGAAACGGAATAAGAATACCTCCGGACTTCATTTTAGAGCGGAAGTGCTGGACCAGAAGAAGTATGAACGAATGTAAGGACTAAAATCGGATTAATGCACTGAAATCTAGGAAAGAATGGAATACACGACCGGCGTGCAAGGACTGGACCAGCCAAAGGTTGAAATTAACGAGAGTAAGAAGAGCTATAGCAATGACGAGAACATTGATTGATCAAAGAGAATAGGCGGTCCGCCCATGTTAATATAATACATTATTATATTCGAACATTCTTAGTGTCCAAAAACTAAAAGGCTGAGTGTTTCAATGCGGTAACAGGGTCCGTTTCCATATTTCTAGATATAGTTTAGATTTCAAGTTCCGTTAGTTTCAGTGGTCCTGAATTGGCCAAATGCCCACCAGAAAGAGGAACGAAACTGAGGCGAGACTAGACTTTAGACTGGGAGCTAGCTATAATGGGAATTTCAGAGGAAAGAATTAACACAGGGAAATGACACGAGGTAATCGCGATTAGGATATCGCCGCAATTTTTCAAACAATTTGTTACAACTGCGAGTCTGGAGTTGGTGAAATATAGAGTCGGATTTGCTCGAGCATGTATTTTACAATGCATGTAGCTAGATATAGGTAATGATCATATCATGTAAATAAGCCATGACAGCCGATCGGTGATCCGACAATGGATGGGAACGAAGCTGGGCTCATAAATCTTTCGCGAAAGCGGTCACCAGGAACCAGCATAGGATGTATAACATTGCCTGAGATGCAAAATACTGTTTACTGTCTTGACCCCCCAATGCTTATGAAGCCCAAATCGGCTGGCTGTCTATTGGTGGCGCAAGGCCCCACAACGCAAAATAGTAACCAAGCAGAAGCTCTATTAGGAAGCTATAAAAAAATATCTCAACTAGAGCGCCGCAAGACAGCTAGAAGAACGAGATGGAAAAAAGAAGAGCAAAAAGAAAGATCACGTCTTCCGAATCCGGGAATCGAACCCGGGCCTCTTCGGTGAGAGCGAAGGATCCTAACCACTGGACCAATTCGGATTCGCTTCTGTATGAGTGTTCAATGTCAAATTGTGTTATATGTTTTTAGTATGAGTAAGAGTTTTCCAACACATCTAAGATGAGTCGTCTACTGGACAATCTTTCGAGTTCCCATCTGCGGATTTTTAAATGCTATGCGGGTCCTAGCCATACCCGCAAGGACCAAGCGCTCGGCTTCTCTTAGAATCCTCAAACTTCTAACCAGGGTTATTGCTGAAAGACTTTAGCCAAAATAATTGCTTTGTGGTTTGCTATTGAAAATTTCAATCCAGGACTGAACCGTGTTATTGCGATAGCAGTTCGGTACTCGCCCATGTTCAAACCATCTTAGATACTAGGTAGCGACACTGCAATACTGCTGAACAAGTAAAGAGTAGATTTTTGCGAGGGAGAAACTTGTATACATCCCACCATCCATAAAGTTTTTATTGTTAGTTTCCTTACACATAAATACAAGCGATTTCAGTGCCCCGAAAACTTTTTGGCACTTGAACAGAATAGCAGGAATTTAATTCTTAAGGTTTGCTCCGAGAGACAATGGTCAAATTAAACATTAATAGAAAATGTCGATATGGTTAAGATTTTAGGAACTACATCAACGTCTTATCTTCTGCTCCTCGGAAGAATTGTTATATAGATACTGGCTCCATGTAATAGGCCTTAGCAGGTACGTGCAGTGTTCCAACTAGCCGTACGGAATGAGGAATTTGCTAGAAACTACAAGCTAATGAATTCATATAATACTAGGATCTAGATATCTCATGCCTTACAGCTTCAATTGAAATTCACATTCGATCTGCGAGAGTCTTTCTTGAAAATTGTTGTCAATCTGTTCGCTCTCAATTTTCGCGGTAGGAGATATACATCATCAAGCAAGCTAGGGAGCGTCTGAGTAGACAAAAACACTTTGACGAAGACCTTCGAGACGGAGGAGCAAACACAATGGGTCAACAATTTGCTGATTAGCACGATCGATTTTCTGGGTATAACCAGTATTCTAACCATTGGGCCAATTCGGACTCGAGAAATTTTGCTCAAGTTTGAAGATATTAAACGTCGGCATCGAGCTGTTGGAGAGCCAACTTGAGGTTGATCTGCAATTTGATCGGATCCCTTAGGTAGAAAGAAGCAAGCTATGTCGGAATTGCTGGCCAGCATCCTCGATACCGGACCAGCGATTTCTGTCTTGGCATGCAAAATAATAGATTTCATGTTGCACGAATACCCAAATACTGAGGGTCGGAAACTTGATTATGTAACTTGCCCCAAATCTGAATCGTGGCATACGGGAAGAGGACTGCATATGCATTCAATTAACCGATCTTTGAATCACTTGTGGAGATTTGTCCATTTGTGTTTGGTGTTTTTCGTTTCTCAGTTCCCCACGATTTTGTTCCGTCTTGGAGGGTTGACTGAAGCACAAAATATCTGCATCCCACCATCATCAAAACGTTTAGAACCTTGTCATACAATGCAGCTGAACAAGGGTCCTTAGTGGTTCGAGCGTTTCTGTTGAGTAACAGGGGGGATCGGAAGCAATTCGAGCACACTAAACAGCACACTAAGCTTGAGAATGGAAGGCAGCTCTGGATTCCGACATTCAGAATGTGATTTTAGCCCGGGATGGAGCTCGACCCTGGCAAACGTGGGATGATATCTTTTATCAATTTCTATCGATAGGGACACAGATTTGTCTTACTCCCAGGTTCTCGTCACCATAGGAATTTTTTAACTAGTTGCGATATCGCGTGAGCTGCAGGATGCAGCGGCATGTGAACTGGACAAGCGAATCGGCCGTCTTGTTGGTTTATCAACCTCAGAGCGACCCTGCTGTTGCATAAACTGTTGGATAATATTATACTCACATTTGCGTAGCGAAGACGACATTCTGGCTTGTGAAAATTTTTTGTGATACCCAGGGTAGTTTCTGATATCCCTTGTAGATAGAATGTGTTCGAAGTTTCTTAAAAGGTGTATTCTCCCCCAAAAAAGGATGGCGTGGGGACTGAAGCCTAAAAATTTGGTGCTAAGAAACTCTTTTACCGCCGTTCTGATCACTCACACGACCCTTACCATGGTAGATCCCACGCTGTAGCAGTAGACTTCTTTCGTCGAGTTAAGTTTTTCAACCTTCTTCTGCCCTTAATTTCAACATCAAGGGCGACATTAGGAGATCGTGAGTATCAACGTTTACCACGAGGAAAGACTTGTTTCTGCCGGCACAAGCCCAGAAGCCAGTATCACGATGTCGAAGGCGGGTAAGACCACCATTGACCTGCCAAACGGCGGCAACCTGAACGACGACTCCTCCCAGTTGCGAAACCCAACCAAAGCTTCAAAAAAGGGCCTGAAGCAGTCAGCATCTCCCACGAACACCCCGAATGACAACTTTCAACAAGATAGACCAGAATCCGAAAAGCAGCCTAAGACTTATGGCCGAACTTCCGGTGGAGATGGTATGTGACCTGCACAACGCTTTGTCGAGTCTGGCCAATTCGTGAGCGAAAAATGCAACAGCTGACAACGCAATTCTCCGACGCAGTCTTTGTTGTCCCGCAGACCCATGACATGGTGTCAACCCTCCTATCCCCCAAAGAACCCAAAAATCTCTCCGATCTTCTAGTCCTCGGAGTTCTCGCGTTTCACATAAGTCTCCTTTTCATTCTACCGCAATGGTCGTTAAAACCGGTCTTTATGTTTCTGTTTCTCTTTTGGAGAGCTGGATACAACCTTGGTATCGGCCTTCTCCTGCGATCTCAAAGCAAATACAAGCAGTTGGTTTATTGGGCGGGCAAATGGAAAATCTTTGATGAAAAAGCGCATCCAAGGTTATACGCCTTCATCAAGAGGGAAATATCAACCAAAATTCCTTCGGAAGACTATGACTTTGACAAGGCGCCAATCGAATACAATACATGGATGGTCTTTCGTAGACTTGTGGATCTAATCCTCATGTGTGATTTTGTAAACTACGTCCTGTTTGCATATGTTGCCACTGAAGTTCCTACCAGTCATAAGATGTGGCTTCACATATGTAGATGGACGGCTGGGGTCATCCTCTTTCTGTTCAACGTGTGGGTGAAACTCGACGCCCATCGTGTCGTGAAGGATTACGCCTGGTGTAAGCATTCTCTGAAAGTATTTTCGTGGAAGGATAAAAACTAACGCCCTTCTAGATTGGGGTGACTTCTTCTTTATGATAGAGCAATCTTTGACGTTTGACGGCGTTTACGAAATCGCACCTCATCCCATGTACTCTGTTGGATACGCAGGATACTATGTCAGTCTCTTCTTTAAATTATATATATATTTTCATCCATTAACCGGTAAATTTAGGGAATCTCACTGTTTTCCGCTAGTTACACGGTCTTTGCAATTTCTCTCATTGCCCATGCTGCCCAATTCGCATTCCTTGTTCTCATCGAGGACCCTCGTAAGTAAAGCCTCCACCATTCGGTGAGCCAACGCTCATGAATATATTTTCAGATATCCAAAAGATATACAACCCCTCGCCTCCTACGCGCAAGGTGGTTCAAAAGCCTACGATCTTAATTGAAAACGGCGCAACCTCAAATATGGTTGTGGAAGCAACTCCCTCAATATCCACATCATCCGACATACCCGATTCCGTTGACGAACCGCCAGCCCTTCGTCCACTTCTTGGATACCAGAATTTCGACTTCCTCCGCACTCCAGATCTCCAGCTTTTATTCCTAGGTCTTTACACTGTATCTTTGGCACTTTTAGTTCCTGCTACGCCGCTCAATCAGGCTTTATTCCTCCTTCATGCACTCTTCTGGCGTCTTTTCTACTCTGTTGGTCTCGGCATTGTCCTAAATCTTCAGAGTGAGCGAAAGTCCTGGACGAGGCATTTCCTAAAGTATGGCGAGACACTGGATGAATCATGGAGGCAGTGGAGAAATTTATTCCACACTGCCACTTGCATGTGTCATTTGAGTTTTGCAGCGGCCTGCTGGAAAGTGTACTCTCCACCAGAGAGTTGGTTTGATGACATGGCATTACTCAAGCATATGCTTGGATTTGTGAGTTCTACGAGCTGCTATTGAACATTTTCGGAGACGCTAACACCATTGGTCTCTAGCTCCTTGTTGCAGTACAAGTGTGGTCCGCTTCTTCGGTATATGATAGTGTCGGAGAATTCGGCTGGTAAGCAGTACCTGAATTTGAATTTTAGCCCCGCTTCTAATTATGAAACTAGGTTCTACGGCGACTTCTTCTTCGACACCCGCCCAAAGTTGACATATTCTGGCATTTACCGCTTCTTGAACAACCCTGAACGCTTGTTCGGCTGTGCCAGCGTCTGGGGCCTCGCTCTCATCACTTCCAACCCAGCAACATATCTTATCGCTCTCATAGCCCACATTGCCACCCATCTGTCAATCGATTTCGTCGAACGCCCTCACATGCAAAAACTCTACGGCGACCTTCGCAAAGACGCCGGTGTCGCCCGAACCCTCAAGCGCGCGGTACCAAAGGATCTAAACGCTCGTCTACAAAAGATCCAAGGCTCTTTCGACAAAGTTGCCAATACTACCAGCGACCTCGTCGAAGAATTCCTCGATCGTGCGCTAAAGCGTCTATCCCAGCAGGAAGAAGCCAACCCTCTCCTCCAAGATGCACCCTCCCAACGGCGGCACCTCAGTTTCCCAACCTCCACTCGAATCCTCTTCTCTGGTCTCTCCGACGCTGCTGAACTTTCCAAGCTCGATCTCTCACTGTACTCTATCTCCGTCCTCTCTGCGCGACAATCTCCAAAACCGCCCGGTTCCGCTATCGATGATAGCTTCGGCCCACTTTCGGTCTCTTACGGCTCTGCTGTAAGAATCGCCTGGACGGCTCCAAAACTCCACTCTAAAAAGGATTGGGTCGGGTTATACCGCGTGAACGACAACTCTAAGCGCTCCGTCACCGGTATAGCGTCCATGGGCCGCTGGACCGCCGTATCAAGAGGAGAATATCCACCGTACGATGAAGAAGCT